TTACGTAGTACGTTCGTCGTACGTCTACTACTACTACTACTACTACGACTCGTACTACCACGTACTCTCTCTACTACTACTAACTAACTACCTACTCTCCCCCTCTCTCTCTCTCTCTCTCTCTCTCTCTCTCTCTCTCTCTCTCTCTCTTATTAATATTTCTTAATAATCATCTATTTCCTTGGTTTAGGCTTTTGTTCCCTTATTTTTGGCCCTAGGAATTTTGATTTTTTTAATGAATGATGAGATGCATTGGACTCTGAGCCATTTTCGCTTGCAAATTGTTATAAATGCGTTTGCCTAGAAAGCATTATTTGACCATAGCAGGCAATCAACAACCACCAAGAGCTGCTATAAAACAGCAACACCAAAACTGAAATTAACTCAAATAGGAGGGGTTTGAATTTTCACCAAAACTGGAATTGATTTGGATTTTGATCCTATACATAGTTTTGGACTTGGATTTGGATCTGGATCCTCATGTTTAGGATCCATCGGATCCGGATCCAGAACTGGGTGGATCCAGACCCGATCTGAAACATTCTGAGTCCTACTAGATTAGTATGAAATGTGGAGTAATTTTGTTAGTGGAATCAAAAGGCTTAGCTGATCAAATAAATTGGCATGCACATTGGTGTCTTTGAAATTCGGCTTGTGATTTGGCTGTAGTGCCAGTTTAGAATATCTTGCAATGTTTTTTGCCTTAAATGGTGGCATACTTTGAAAGGAGAAATCTTTAAAATGAATTATTGGATTTTACATATGAATACAGTCTTGTAGCAGTTAGTCATATGAGATTTGTAGGCAGGATATTTTGTCAGGACAACGCATATTAGATAATCCTTGTAACTATTAATGAATTGGATTTAATTAGTAGGGGTTTTCCTTTGGGTCATGTCGTGCATGTTAGTAAAAATCTGACCAAATATATTTATGTATGTTACTTAAATGGTGAATGCAAAGGAGACATACCCCCCTACCTAATTGATGCCAAATGTGTAAAGAGGAAGAAAACATCGACCACCTATTCCTCCAACGTTGTTTCACTTCTGAAATCTGGGCATGGGCCCTAAGCCTCTTCAAGCAGAGTTGGGTCACCATGCTCAAACACCCATGTTTGCCAGAAACACTCTGCCCACCCTGCCGAGTCTTGACTGAGACTGGAAAGACATCATTTAGTCAAGCCGCCTCTATTGACAAGGCCTTCTCACTGGATCCTGCTGGAGGCAAATATGATCAAGTTGGAATTTCCATGGAAGCTCCCTTGGCAAGATTGGTTTGGAAGGGGTGACATTTTCAGGAAACATAACTGGCCTAAAGCTGTGCGATTGAAATTAGGGTTAGTTATACTGGTAAGGGGAGACAGCTGAAACATCATCAATTGGGTCAAACTTCTAGCCTGACTAAGAACCTATTTTTGATGAAATATCCCAACTCTGCATAGTCCTGAATGTTTTCTCTAGGATGCTTGGAGGGAGGCTGACACTGTTGCGCACTCCCTTGCCAAGATGGTCCCACAAGATTTGCACCTCATTATCTGGAGACCCTCTTCCTAAGTAGTTCTCCAGCAGCTCCGAAGTTTTGTAGAAACCTCTCTAACATTATTGTGACCACTAACAATTTTGTAATATCCTGTGTCTATGACAGGGTTTTACCCATACTAGTACAAAGCTACTTCATCAAAATAATTAGCATGTGAAATCTTGCACTATTTTGTGAGCAGCTTAGCTTATCAATTATCATACATTCTTAATCTCCAATTCTTTTAGATTTCTGGTAGTATTTGTAATTAGACCAGTGAAATCATATGTTAATTTTCATTTGCTTTTTTTTTTGGGGCAGGTTACTGAGGCTCTTGCACAAGCTGGGCTTGAGTCTTCGAATCTTATTGTCGGTATCGATTTTACAAAAAGCAATGAGTGGACAGGTTTGGTGACATCTTTTTTGTGTAATGGTATTGTCCATGTATGAGGTATGAAAGTCATAACTCCATGTATGATGAGAAAAACAATGGCTTTATGTGATTGGAATCAGGTAGAAGATCATTTAATGGCCGGTGCTTACATCATATTGGGGATACTTCCAACCCTTACGAGCAAGCAATTTCTATTATTGGACGAACTTTGTCTGCCTTTGACGAGGATAACTTGATTCCCTGTTTTGGGTTTGGAGATGGTTAGGCTCCCTTTGAAGAGATCATGTTGTTAGTAGGTAAATGTGGTTGTGAGATGAAGTTATGGTACTGATGTATGATTGTTTCGTCTTATGATAGCGTCAACACATGATCAAGAAGTCTTCAGTTTCTATCCTGATGAGAAGCTTTGTTGTGGTTTTGAGGAAGCACTTAGTCGGTACAGGGAGATAGTTCCATACCTCAAGCTTGCTGGTTGTTTCACTGCCTATGCTGCTGCTTTCATCTGTCTTGAAGCAGTTCACTGCTTGTGCTGCTGCTTTCATCTGTCTTTGACTTTATGTGAACTTATCTTTTTTTTGTTCACTTTGTGTTGCAGGGCCAACTTCTTTTGCCCCAATTATTGAAGCAGCGATAAGCATTGTAGAGAGCAGTGGTGGTCAGTACCATGTTCTGTTGATAATTGCTGATGGACAGGCAAGAACAATTTTAAAAATTACATTTCTTGACTGAATAACTCCGATTTATGAAGCTCATAAAAATGAAACAAAAATCAATTGTATGAATGGGTTATATATTGATACGTGTAGTGGAAGTCCTTTTATTCATCATGTTAATTATTACACACTTAATATTTCACATATTCTGATGAACGTGTTCTGTTGTTTCTTTAATTGGGATTCATTACGCTGTCGGCGACAAACTCTAATCCCTTTTTTCATCATGTTTAATTTTTGCATATTTAATATTTCATGTATTGTGATGATAGTGTTCTGTTGTTAGTTTAGCTAGCATTCATTAATCTCTAGCCCTATACCCTAATCACTACAGAGGCCCAACCCAATGAAGGACTCATTTCATTTGTATTTAGTGACGATGATTCCTTGAGAATCATGGAGCCTTACCTGAATGGGAATATTCCATACTTGGCTTATATCATAGCCACCTGAATCGTTCACTCCCAGTGGCAATTCTAGTTCAGAATCTTGCTCCAGCACTCGGAACAAAGGATCTTCATGGAATCTCTCTCCCTCTGCTCTCTCTCTCTAATTTAGGTTCCTCGCTTCCATTACTTAGGAATCTTGATTCTGAGTTATTTGTGATTCAGATTTCACAATATCAAATCCCAGGCTTCCTAGGTGCACTGGACGATGATCCAAATGCAAGCATCTAGAGTTAAACCTCATTCCTATTTCTATTTATAGGCTAATCCAAAATCAATTTCTTACTTTTATAAATTTATTATTTATTAATCAAATAATTTTACTTTATTTATTCAACGGAAAAGGATGGCATGTCTAGGCACTGTAGTTAACCTCGATTCTAGTACCTAGGGACCTGGTGATGACCTTGATTACAGTGCTAGTAAGCACGTTTATTGGACAGTCGAGGGCATCAATGCCATTACTAGGGTAACCTTGGCTAAGGCCGCTCAGTTACATTGATTCAAATACAAAGGGATTCTTAGTTAATTTTTTACATGGTCTCAAATTGTTGGGAGTGTGATTCACAAAAGGTTGCCATCTCTATTCTCAAAGGGTTTGGATCTAGATCCCTAACATATGAATTCTAGAAACGAAGTTTCATACTATAGGGATCCTCTATCCTATCGCGATCTCTAGGTTTTGATTCCCAAATCACTCTAGCACTGCTCCCCTTTGCAACAACTATGGTTCAGATTTATGCTTCCTGCCTAATATGCAACTTTACTTTGGCAGGGTTAGTGCTTCAGTGATTTTCAATTAAAACCATTTTATCTGGTCTTACCTGAATTCATGCCAAATGGGGCAAACTATCATGCATATGGCCTCAAAACGTTAAGGAACTACAAACAAGTCTGAAAAGATAATTTGTTTTTATATGAATAGGTTATAAATATGTAATTATCTGTAGTGACAACAGCACCAGGGTGTTTTATATCATTTTTTTATTTCTATTTTACTGATATGACATGGTGAATTATACTTAGTTTGCTGCTTGGTATACCAAAATTTATCATTGTTTGTATACCTAGCCCAGCTTCCTTACTTGCTTAAGTAAGAGTGTTCCATTAAAATTAAAGGCCTAGGGCTGTAAGAAGGATGATTATCCAATAGTTTTCTGTCACTGCCTTATGTCCAACATTTAACTATCCCAGGTTACAAGAAGTGTTAACACAGATCATGGCCAATTAAGCCCACAGGAGCAGCAAACAGTTGATGCAATTGTGAAAGCGAGGTGTGCTTAACACTATGTTTTGTCTGGTAAGTTTATCGGTTTTCATACTTATTGCTGAATGTTATTTCTTGCAGTGACTATCCATTGTCAATAGTGTTGGTTGGAGTTGGTGATGGACCTTGGGACATGATGCGACAATTTGATGATAACATCCCCTCTCGGGCTTTTGATAATTTCCAGGTTAGAAATGAGAATCATTGTTCTTACACTTTATATGC